ATCGGCGCAAAATGGGATTAATAAACGGCCTCTCCGAACAAACGATCGTCGAAGAGAGACGTAACAAAGTGTGCACCAACGAACCGAAAGAACCACACGCTCCAAAAAAGAAGGTATAGGAAACGAGGTACACACAGACACTGTAGGAGGCCATAAATCCCATGGTACAAAAGAAAAAAGAAGACGCGCAGGCACGTGGTGGTGTATCGAGCGAGACCTCCTTTAAATCATTGGACAAGCATCGCCGCGAGCAGCAAGCGCGCGAAGACTCTCTCTAAATAAATAAACAAAATGCAGATTAGTCAGAGCGAGCAAAAGCCGGTAAATCATCCTTCAGCAAAACTCATTACATACGAGCGGAGCGCCAGCGTTATATTATAATACGAATCCATCAAGTTTTTAAATTTGTGAAACTAGTTTGCCTTTTATGAATGAGCTTTATGGTTTCTATGTTTGTTTCTTTTGCGGTTTTATTATACGGATGGATATGCTTGTGAATCATCCTTTTTTTCGCGGTGAAATATCGTCGATGGCCAACGATTAGATATATTCGTAATAAGGGGAAATGCGTAACGAAAATTTGTACTTCTCGCTGGATTTTAGAACAAGCGTTCTTTTTGCAACTCGAGCTTCGTTATCGTTAGCTATCGCGAACCCGTGGGGTGTTGATTTCATCAAGGAGAGTACAAAAGCCCCCCTCCGAAAAAAAATTAGTCGTCGGGCAGAATGCAAAATTCATCGCGCGCTTAATTAAAAAAGGAGAGAGAGGAAGAGGCGTCGCGCACATGTAAAACGCGTTACCTCGTTTCCGCGAGGCAGCTCTCAATTAAGTCTCTACTCGCCAGCCAGTTATCGACGAGAGCATCGTGTACGCTAATTGTACAGTGATAACGCGGTTTGTAGTTTTCCCGAAAAAAAAAGCAGCGCAGAGCAGCATCGAAATTGGCATATGGTCGTTAGTTTGGCGCGCGCGTTAATTTTGGTTAGGATATCAGTGGATATTATTTTGATGGGTGCTTGTTTGTGATTCCATGCGGATGGACATTAGATTTGATTGGAACGTGGTTTCGTTTGTTTTCCATTTTTGGCTGTTGATTGGCAGAGATAACGGTTTAGTAACAGCGACAAAGAATATTGACTTTTGACAACCGAACATGGATTTCAATTGTATTCTTCAATCTTGAGAATCATGATGCTCAGGTAATATAAAATAAAAATTGTGAAACTATAGATCTTGATTCTTGAAATTAGAATCGTAAATTTCAATTATAAACATGTATAGTTGCCATTACAAAAAAATGTGATCTTGTCATAATAAGCTATCTTGTACGATCACCATTCTATTTCAATGATTCAACCTACGTAATATAACCTGTGCTTATCCAACAAAAGAAGAAAAAAGAAAAGCTCACATGTATGGTTCTGTTTTCCAGCCGACAATATATGTATATATGTATACTGTCACCTGCTGGGTCGCATCACGCGGAAGAGAGGGCGAGATATACACGTGTTTCGAACGATGGCCGCATGATGCACGAGAGAGCGAGTCTGGATTAAACGAGAGAGCTTATATAGCTGTCTCCCGGTAATCCGCCAATTAACGAGCCATGAGTCTTACGCTTGGGCGTGCGTTACGTCAATTAATTTGAATTTTGATCGGGGGTTCAACCCATCTATACTCCTCTTCTGTAGTTGATTTCCGTGGGTTATTTTTATTTTTGAGGGTGAGCGCTTCTTCTTCTTTGTGTGACTATTTTTTGATGTTATGGCAATTAATAGAAATTTATATCCGATATTCTTAACACACATATGTAAAGAAAAACTTTGTGTTGATACATTCGTCAGAAATTTTCAATCTAATATTCTAAATCGGTATTGCATGTAAAAACTAATCTTTAACAATAATTTTAGAACTAAATTTCCATATTTTTTAGAAAGAATTTTGAACCGACATTTTCACGTGCCTTGATTCAGTTTTGAATTAGTTGTAAAATTCGTAATGAAAAAGAATATATAAAAAAGCTATGGAAATGAAATTGCACTGAACTCAGCGTATCTTCAAAGATGTTTGTTAAAATCTTATTAAAAAAAAAGTCATGAAAAAATCATAGCATGGAATCAAGTTGTCATAGCGATCCTACCTGAAGGCCCTCACAAGTCTCGCGCACATACACACGCGTGGTCGACAATAACCGTCGATCCGGCGAAGGAAGAAAAAAAAGAAGAAGCGACAGAGCAGCAGCATAAGCAACAGCAGCGAACGGAACTGTGAACTTCTCTTGAACATCTCTTTGGATTAATGGATTAACTCGGTTCCCGACATCAGCGGCGTCTGTCACATTTAGCCGAGCGATAAATCATTCGCGCGCCCAGTCACTTCCATTCATCGAGCACTCTCGCCATTAATCATAAAGAAACCGCCCGAAAATATATATAAACAGCCGCGCACGCGTTTCGTGTGTAGCGGTGTTTCCTATAAATAATCCGCAACGGCAAAAAGCAGGAGTACAAACGCTCGATAAAAAGGATTTTTCCAAGAGCTGGCTGTGCAGCTTCGCGCGAATTTCTGGAATTCACTGGCACTGGCACTTGCTGCCGTTGCTGTCGTTTGTCACCCTCTGAGCAAAAGACCAAAGAAAACGAGATGCGGTAACGCCGAAAAAGGCCAACTATCCGACGATCGCAAAAGACTGTTTTAGGATATACTCTTCCACATACACCGCGATCGCGCGCGATACCCTTGCGCTGGATCTTGACGATTTTCTGTTGAATTGTCGTACGTTCCGAATTAAGCCAATTATGTAAGAACTGCGCAGCTCTCGAATGGAAAAAGAAACGAAAGGGAACGGACCACCGAGGAACGAGCGAGATACGACTAAAAAAAGCCGATCATAACGAGTGAACGAGAAAAAGGGAAAGAGGAACACACACCGGATAACCGGCAATCAGAAAAAACGTATCGCAGCGCGTCCGACTTCGAAAAAAGAATTCCTATCAAAACGCACGCATACGACGACATCTAGCCATTAATCTTTCCGGAAAACAATCCGTCATCGTTCGCGCCTTCGCCGGAGAGAAACCAAAAAAGCCCATCGGTGCGAGTAGCACGGAATATTCAATATTCTCGAAAAGCCCGTCGTCGACACAGAGCAAAGATAATCTCCGTGTCAACGTCTCGTTCATGCTCGGTTGCCGTCCGACAATCGCGGCCTTTTCTCCTCTTTAACCCGCGCTGACGATAAATTTCTCCACGAGCTGCGCTTGCATCGTCGCACGTACGCACGCTTTTGCACCCCGTTCTCTTTTGGGCTGCCGTTTATTTACGATTGGCAAATGCTCGGCGACACTCGTATTTCTGAACTCGGAGACTTCAAGTGTGACGAGCTGAGAGTGACATTGCGAGGTCAAGCTTTCGATGCGATCAATGGTATTATATTCTCAACGACATCATTGCCCTCCGTTCATCGTTAAAAGAGCAGCTTCAACGCGTTCGAATGTCATACTGACGTGTACTTCAAATGCCACAGATATAACGGATATAACGGATATAACGGATATAACTATACTACGAGGGGAGGAATCGATTCACAGATCACGAATCGCGATACACCAAACGGAAGCGTCCAAGCGCTTAATCAGCACTTCGGATCGAAAGTCTTCGAAATGTCCCCAGCAAAGGTATTCTCCCACGAAGCATCCTTTCGTTATATACGTGTGCAGAAGAGAAAGTGACACGACGCCCGACTGGATATAAGAACGAAAAAAGCTACGTTGTCGTGCGGAGACATCGATCATCTTCGTTATCGACGTCCCGGGATCCATATGCTCCGACGATGACACGTATATCATCGCGAGAAAAGATCTACATAAAAAGTAAAACCACACGGCTCATTGGCTACGAGACTAAATGGCTTTCTTATGCGATTGGAAAATTCGATGGTTTCGGCCGATGTTCATAAGATGGAGGTGGAGCATGTTTTATTGCAAGAGGAATGCAAACGGATGGACTATAAATTTACTGTATTTTCGGCTATCTGATTATGTTTTAGTAGTTGTAACATTTTTGCGATGACTGGGTCTTGTTTTCACTTTCAAAACATTTAATGAATTTGAGAGGATTAGGATTCAAATTCTTCCCGACTGTTTACTAAAGATTTATAAAATAGATTTGTATAAAGGAGGAAAAATAAATGGCTTCATCGATACGCACACAGGCCGCGAGGTAATCAATCATGATCGCGATCGTATTGATTCAGCAACGCAAGAAAAAAAATTGTTTCTAACGTAACACGGAAATGCAAAAAGAAAAGATTTTGCAATGATTTGGATCAATTCTCAAATAGCTATGCCCATAAGATAAGCTGGCGAGTATATATATAAGTCTGTTAGTTAAAGCCTCACACGCTGAAAACAGCAGTGAGCCGCGACGACATCAAAGCTTTCCGTCTCGCTTCGAGTCTCTCTTTCCAGCACTTGTCAAAAAGCAGTCCAGTCGACGCTCGCACCGAGCGAAAAGATTAATTGCCACGGCTTGCTCTCGCAGCAGCAGCTAGCTTTTTTCTTTCTCTCTCTCTCTCTCTCTCTCTCTCTCTCTCTCTCTCTCTGTCTCCCTTGCTCTTTCGTTTTCTCCTACTTGCTTGCTGAAAGTGGCGAGAAAGATATCGCTTCTGTGTGCGTGTATGTGGGAAAATTCATTGGTTGCACAATGTATGGCTGCGGTAAGGAATTGGAGCATGCGGCGGTGTTGGCTATGAAATTTTTTATTGCAAAAATCAAAAGGATACTTTCTAAAGCAGGTGGACTGAGAATTTTCGGATTGATTGAGTTTACTTTTGGACGTCGGTCTTAAGGGCGCTTCACTCAGTCAAAATCGAATATGTTCGAAGGTTTTTTTTTTCAATCTTGATTGTGAGAACTTACAAACTGATAAACGGGATATGCATAGGTCAACTATTGTAAAATAAAGATACACAATTTTCATGTATGATTGTGAAAATATATTTGACGAAAAGTAAAAAGTAGAATACGAGAGAAGAAACATATTATTCTGTGAGCAAAAAATTCTTTTTCTTGGCGGCGATGAAAAACGGTAAAACAACTGTCGTTTGCGTTTTTACATTTCTTTACATGGAGACATGGAATAGGACGTTGAGGGGGTTATTAACAATTAAAACTTAAATTGCAAGGGTTTACCTTCACTAGAACGAGAATATCGCTAAATCCCTAACATTCGGCCACGCTGAGAAAAAAATTTTAAAAAAAACTAACACGATGACCGACAGTCAAGAGGAACGTTATTATTTCTTCACCTCCGTCTTCTCACCCTATTCCTAAAAGTGTTTTATTTTCTATAATCAATTAGTTGTATTACTTTATTGTTTTTTTACTATGTACACGCAGTGCGGTAGTCGTAAATGTCCTTAGGTAATCATAGATATAGAATTAAAAAGATAATTTGCTATTGAATAGTCGATCGATTATTTATTAATAATTACCTAACGACATTCACGAGTGACCGATCATAAATATATATTTATATAGTGTCACTTGAGAATAAATCTACAAATTAATAAATTTCACTGGGTATTTTCGTCGCTCTCTTATAAACCTTAAAATTCAACGTATTTGTTTTTGTTCTCAGTCTCTTTGAGACGGTAAAAATGGGAGGTTCTTCAATTCTTGAACTTACCCAGTATATACATCAGGTTTACTTTTTTTTGTTTGTCCATACTGGATGTCGCATCATCAACTGTACATTCTTCGCTAATAAGTAATAAATACACTCGACATCGTTCGCATACTTCAAATACAATTGTGTGTGTGTGTGTGTGTGTGTGCTTGTATGTATTTATTATATATAGTACAATGCCTCAAGGTTAGCTTTTTTTATACAATGATTCGTTTCGCGCAACGATCACGTGATGTCAGGGCATATCGATATTTCAAATAAAAAAAATAGTCTAATCACTTTTCTCAGATTTCTCATGCAAATCAGAAATAACACACGTCATACACAACCGAAGCAATTGATAATTTTGATCGACATAAAAAAAGTAACAACATCCGTTTATCACAACTCAGCTGACGGCCAAAAAGTATATCTAAATCAGCCGCTAATTAAAGAAAAGAGAGCAACAGTATTTTGCCTTTTTAGGATCAAACGGTTCTCGATCACGCGCAGTCGAGTGAACCAAGTGACGAGGGACTATGAGGACCGCCAAGAACACCAAATGGTGGACTCATAGGTGGGCCACCACCACCACCAGATCCACCGCCATAGAGTTCCAATTCACTTAGACCTGACGAGTCCATGCCGCTTGGACCTAAACCGCCTCCAGGACCACATTTGTCGGATTTGCCTTCTTGCTTTAGTACCATGCGTCGCCACTTTGCTCGAGCATTTTGGAACCAGACCTGAGAACAATAAATGAGTAAAATTTTCTCTTTAGCTCTGCCAATCCAAAGTATCCATGTGAATTGAGCGCGAGATCGAAAAATCGATAATCGCGTGCAACCTCCTTTTACAACAATCGAATGCAGCTGAACAGAAACCCCGTGACCGTTTTTTCACAGCCTCTGAAGCAGAAAAATCTGGCGCGATAACCGCAGGTAAAAATAAAGGAAGTAGAGAGCTTTACGCAAAAATCGACTGTCCGTGGATATGCAAATCCGCGGCAATACAAAAGTATCATATCTTATCGCAAAAGGCATTGTTCCATCACGGCGCACGGCTTCGATTCCGGCGCGCGTGTGTAACACCAGGAGGGTCGCCATTTTGCGCGAGAGAGATACTACACCGCACGAGCTCCTCCCTCGCATCAAAGTATATATTTTCGATCTCCCCTTTGTATATTGAAACGGAAGATAGAAACTTTACTGTGAAAAGAATTCGATTGCAGAGAAAAAAGCTTTGGAAAAAAGCCGTACAATAGCCAAAGTCGCGTACACGTACAAGGGAGGAGAAGGAGAAGGAAGGAGAGAGAGATAGAGAGAGAGAGAGAGAGAGAGAAAACGCGCCGCGAGAGCTGCTGCTGCTGCTGCGATCAATATCAGGCAAGATGGCGTATATATACTCTCTTTCGCGACGAAACGAATACAATGGCCCTTCTCTCCGCCAAGTTTTTTCGTCCCTCTTTCTTGGCCGTTTTGCTTCGATTTTTCGCATTTCGCCTTTTTTCTTTTTTTCTTTTCGGCGGAGTTGCGCGAGCGAGTGTGGCGAAGTTTATGTGGGAACACGTTTCACTGGGAAACCGAGGAAGACTCGGTTTCGATAATTGTTGCGCGGGCGAACGACGGCAGTCAAGTTCCACGGCGTCGGGAGTGAGCCGCGCGCAGCTTGGGCATTTCGAAATCGTCATCGATTCCCACAAATCATCGAGCAATACGGCATCGCAATCGCCGCGGCGTACATGTACGCGCGCTACAGCGGCACAGATGCCGGTCACGCGCGGACAATAAAAGCCGATTGGTCAAGTCCCTTCTCTGTCTCTTTCCAGCGGCGAAAAACAACGAGGGCATTCCGCCAATCCAAAAGAAACCAGTCGCGAGCGCGCTCGAGACTGGATTCCACCGCGAGCGCGGGTTATGATGGGGATGACGCGAACCGCAGCAAAACCCAATGGAGCATTTATGTAAGGGCCTGCGGGGCAAGTGCCGTGCAGATATGTTTTTGTCCAGTGCGATATGTCGCCGCGATGGCGGATACATTAGAAACTCATATACGCAATCAGCACCATTTTCTTTTTCTGCTGCTGCATTGTTGCGACTATAGAATTTGTTATTAGCTAATGTCGAGATGAAATGCTGGCATGTAATGGCAAGTTCCGCGAATAATTTAATTAGTTTTACGAAACTAATACTTTGTTTTTGATTTCTTAAAAATACCACTTGGATCGACAGGGAGATATAACGAAGCTGCCACTATTTCTTCAGAATTATGGCATTGTAGGCTATGTATAGCTAAAGTGCGTTCTTTTTCAAACCGAGAACGAATGAATTTGTTCCAGTTGAGTTCATTTAATTTTGACAATAGCATTCGGTAAAATTCATTCAACCTCGTCGAAATATAGTTGCCATCGAGAAGGTCCTCCGTCAATAAACCAAAATCTCTAGCAAGATCGCTTGGCTAGAGCGCAGAAAAAGCACAGCCTCAGACTTTGAAGTTGCTCAGCGCGCAATCAGCGACGTTGCCCTCGCGCGCAGGATAATTGGGGCAAACTCTCTCTCTCTCTCCGGAAAAGAAGAAGAAGGAGAAGAGAAAAAAGACGGAGAGAGTGCAGCATTGGGTGATTTATGCGTGAACGCGCGGGCACGGATTGACGAAGTGCTACGGCGTCGACGGAAATATCGTCGGGGCGAGAAAAAGGGCCACGGCAAGCTGAACACAGGCGGCAGCAGCAGCAACGCTAATTGGAGGCCGGAGCGTATATATACTAGCGTCGAATATTTCTTAGCCGTCGGTCGCGCGTCGTACGGGCGAGCGAGCGAGCCGTGTATATATAATTCGAGTGAAAAGTCGCCGGGCTTTATTTTTTGTTCGCGCCGAGCGAGGGATGGCCGACGCGACGCTTTGGGGCTTTCTAATCAAGCGCGTTCGTTAACGTCGTCGGCCGGCGGGAAATGCGCGGCGCGTCGATGCCAAAGTCCTATCGGCGGCGCGCCTCACTTCCGACGGCGATCAACTGACCTGCAGCACTCTCTTGGGCAGACCAGTTTTCTGCGACAGTTGCTTGAGATCCTTGGCATCGGGGTTGTGATTGATCGCGAAGTAACTCTTCATGGTCCTGAGCTGGTGATGCTTGAAACTCGTGCGCATCCTCTTTGTTCGACTGTTGGAGCCGGGCATGCCTGGGGTGCCTGGACCACCGCGTCCGAACGGCATGTCGATGTAGTCAGCGTTCAGATCTGTAGCGACAAAGGTAAAAGCGAAAAGAAAACAAATGAGTGAAAATCTAGGCTCTTTTTCCTTTCGCGATGCGTATCGCCGCGGTTCATTAGCCGTCGAGGTTCTACAAGAGCAATTACAGCTAGCTCTAGGAAAGGCAAATGGTCTTTAGCCACGCGAGCTCTCGTCGATAATTGCCATCGGTACACTCATTGTGTGTGGCGCGCGAGTGCACGAGCATTGTCGCCGATCGAGATCTCCGCGGCGTTGAATCATTTATGAGAGGCGCGTTCTTTCGCCCAGTCGATATATTTCAGATTCTCTTTCGCCTTCGGAAGGAATGCAAAGGGACACGTCTCTAACAGCATTTGACGAATTAAACCGTTTCATGGCAATTAACAGCCTTCCGCTCTTTTTGCACTTGTCGACAAACGCGTCGTATGTATAATTGAGCGATCGCCGCATGACAAACGACAAGAAAGTGCCTATACACAGATGGAAGCCGACATACTACTGGACTGGGAGGCTTTTTATCTGCTGAGAATCAGTTGAAAAATGCCCGTCGCCGGTGGCACTTCTAAGCTTTCTATCTCGCGGTGTATATCTGTTTCACGCTTTGATTTAGGACGACGGCAGGTGCGCCGCGCACATCGCGCTGCAGACCTCACTGTGCGGACGCGTGCGTACGTATGAGTTTTTCCCTCCTCGTGTTTTTCGTCGTCCGTGGAATTCGGAAAATTTTTATTCCTCCGAGGTATTTTCTTCATTCGGATGATAGTCACGTCGGGGATAATATCAGTTTCTTTTCCAGAGCTTTTGCTTATCGCTGAGTAAAGTATACATGATTTTCAAAAAAAAAACAAAATCTCAGTCGGTTTCGTCGAGCGATGTGTAATTATTTTTACTAGTTCGTCAAATGAAATCGTCGAACGATTCACGAATAGAAAAGCACTGTTGATGCCAATTCTCATCGGCTGAAGTTGGAAAATCGCGTAGGACTCCAGCTGTGCGTCAAATCCACAACTAAACACTGTTGTCAAAACGAAGGCCGAAAAAAAGATGTGCGCAACTGGCGCGCGGTGTAATACGGAACGTTCCCACGCTGAAAGGATTGCAGGGCGGAAAGCGAAGCAAGAAGAGATCACCTGTGTGTGACTGTGTGTGTACAAACGGCCTACGCGTATACCGGATTTATACGCTGCGACCGGACAAATTTTATCGGAGAGAGAGTGAGTCCCAGTGGCAAGCGGTGCACGCCCACGCACCTTCGTAAATCACACGGCACACGACGGCGGCTGATCTGGATCTCTCATTCTCTGCGACTCCCCCTCTTTTTCCAGAATATTTTGGTTCTGGAGTTGAGATGAAAAATTCGCATTTGAAGGGCCTCGGGAAAGTTGAGCGACACGCGAAGAATTTCGCAGTGCGCGAAAAATCCGCGATTCCTGCCGATTTCGTTTTATTCGGTGCGCTCTTAAATTCTCGCCTGGAGCAGCGTTTTTCTTATTTTCATGCCCGCACGCACATGCTCGAGGGGAGTAAAAGAAGGCATAATTTACTCGCCAGTGCAAACCTTCGTTTCGCTCGAATTTTTCTAATGTCTCCTTTTTTGTGTCTATATACGCGATGCCCATTCTGTCACTGTTTACATAATTTAATTTCGCGTGTCTCTCGACGAGGCTTGACGCGATTATCAGCTACTTGCGATCTAATGATATGCACTCGGGTAAATGTATACGTACGCGAAATGTGAGGTTTGAATGCTTATATGTCGGACGAAATGATATATACTACGATCGCGTTTGATTTTTTTCTCGGGAAAGACAGAAAAATTGTCCGACAAGTTTTGTAGTATTTGAAATGTGGAAAAATGTTAAAATTTCAATGACTGTGTCAACATCCTTTCAATTTTGAAAATAATAAAACTGAACTGTGCTCTCAAAAAGCGAAAGGAAAGTCGTCTCTGAGAAACGCAACGATAATAAAAGAATAAATTTATTTAAGATATTATTGAAACACAACTGGTTAAATTACTACTACGAACAGAAAAACATTCTGCATTTGTGATACTTTTTTTAAGTGTTTTTCCGATTTTAATAAGCAAACGAGAAGATAATAAAAAAACTTTGCATACTAACACGACTCACCAAGGCTACTAGCCATAGCCTCAAGATCCTTAGGTTTCCTTTTCCTCGGTCTGCCTTTCTGTCTTGGTGCAGGTGCAACATTAACCGGTGAAGCACCATTGAAATACGGCGTAACCATTTTCGGTGGCGAACCCACTACGACAGATGGTTCGACGACATTCGTCACGACTGGCACTGGACTCGATTGCGCAGGTCTTGGTGGTGGTGGTTGCAAATGATGCATATGAAATTCAGGCGATGGAAAGCTTTGCGTTTGATAGTGTGGTCCAGCTGGATAAACTTGGCACGGTGGACTTTGAGGTTCACCGCCAGCACCGGCGCCGCCATTGCCACCACCCATCTCGTAATGCATGCGGCAAAGTACCGCGCCGTCTCTCATGCCAAAGTGATCACCTTTGGTCAATGGTACCGAACATGCTGCACACGAGAAACAACGCACGTGAAAGACTAATTCTCGTGCTCGCATTACCAATTCCGAGGCGAGAATCGCCGCTTGACAACGCGCGCAACGTTTCATGCTCCCGAACATCCTGTGAACAGAAAGAAGCGTAAAGATTCATTAGTTTATTGTACGATCGAACAATGCGAATGTATAAATCATCGCACGATGACACGTATGCGTATAACTAACAGCCATAAACGAAAGATTTCGTTTATCGTCGATATAAATTAAAATATATTGAAGCAAATCTCATCGCGCGCGCTTCGCTGAATTAATGAAAACCAACGAATAATTACCGACATGTCCGACAATAATCGCGTATGGTATATATATAAATCCGAATGTATTTTTTTTATTTACGCATCTGATATCAAGTCTCTCTCTCTCTCTCTCTCTCTCTCTCTCTGCGGCTTAAGAAATATGTAAATGCAGTCTGACATCGCTACTGCATTAACGGCACCCAGCAGTCTTCCATTACGTTGGGCGTGCTGTGCGAATACTGCTGCTGCTATCGCTTGCCGATATCTCCCTCGCCGTGACTACCAGTTCTCTCTTCTCTACTCAGGCCGCAATCTCTCCCTTCCAAATATATTGCTACCAAGACTCAATAATCTGCTACGGCACACACACACACACACACACACATACACACACACATGTACACACCGGATGTTCACAGCCAGGAGAGTGATGCTAACTATCAGCTGCAATTCTTTTTTTAATGTTGTTGAAATGTACGACTTTAGAAACTTTGACTTTTATAATTGAGCTCTGGGAATAACAAATCGCGCTGGTGTGCAGAGTTTATTTGATTCAACAAAAGCGAAATATCGAATTTGGATGCATTCCAAAAGATAAATCATCAAAACTGCCATATTTCCCAAAGCGAGTGCAGGCGTCTCTCACACGGAAACTGCAGAGCTCCCGTCTCAACATTTAATTATCTCCCAGAATATAACAATAATCGCGCACGCTTGCCTGAGAAAAAACAGCGACCGCTCTCTCTCTCTCTCTCTCTCTCTCTCTCTCTCTCTCTCTCTCTAACAGTGTGGGAATATAGCGATGATATTAATAAATGCGCCCCGCAAAGCTAAAAAACGCACGCGCACACACACACCCCTTTCTCATGCCTATATCCCGTGGCGGTGGTGCGACGTAATTGAGGACTAAACACTTGTGCCGTGGAAAATGTCTTTTACGTTCTTGGTTACGGGGTTTTTGGAAAAAAAAGAACTGGATGATTTTACGCTTCGGTTGCGCTTCAAGCGCGCGAGGGAATTTTTTTCGGATCATTGGATTTTCATGCAATGTTTGCACCCTCTTTGTTGGATTTTGTGGTGAGGTACTATGGAATTTCGGCGAGATCAAAATAGACTTATTCGCGTTGAAATATAGATTATTTACGGATCACTGCTTTGCACCTCTACATGAGGTTGAAGTATTAGTCTATTTCTGATGTTTCTATAAAATGCAATTTACTGGGAATCTGATGAAGCAATTTTGCAATGAACAAAGGCAATTCCATTTTAAACGCAACGTTTAACTCGAAAATCAGTATCCGAGAAGCGACGACGCAATTACCCCTGCATTTCGTCGTCAGGGACGTAATGCTGTGAAAAAAGGTGGGAACAGAGCCTCTATACACACGTATAGGTGTTAAATATTTGCAGTGATCGACAATAAACGCGCGCGCGAGAGAGAGAGAGAACCGTGCAACGCCCATAAAATCTCCTCGGCTTCCCTTTTGTCAGTGAAAAACGCTTGAATAATATAGATCCCCCAAAAACGCATATGGTGCCAGATCGAATGTAAAGCTCTGCGGGTGAGAGAGAGAGAGAGAGAGAGAGATGCCCCGTGCGCGAGCGCACAATTTTCAGCTTTGCCTTTTGTTACTTACGGCATCGTTATCCAATATTGAGCACGCGTGCCGTTACGAAATATTTTACTCGAATTGCGGTAATATATAGCGGAGAATAACAAATAAAATGAGAAACGGCGTTTAGACTCGATAGAGTCGTTCAGTGAAATGTAAAGGCATCTATCATCTTGGGAGGATCGGCAATTCGAATATTTCATCGCGCTTTAAGCGAGAATGCAAATGTGCTGTTCTTTTGGTAGATCGAGACAAATTTCTCGGCTTGTTATTTATCGCGTAGGCAACAATCGTCACCGCCATACATCAGGGCTCGTGTGTATGTATGTGTGTGTGTGTGTGTGTGTGCATGCGCGTACGCGTGCTTAAAAATTTTAATAAAAGCAGTTCTCGCAAGGGAGCAAGCGCATCGCATGAGTAATGGCGGCGAGTAACTCAATGCCGTAATCTAGATTAATGCCGCCATAGAGCGAGGTTTTGCAAAAGCAGTGCGCGCGCGCGTGTAATGCGGTTGTCCCACGCGCAGTCCCGTCGGAGAATCAGCCAGCAATTTGCATTTTTTCCTTCTTTTTCAGAAGATGTAAGATCGTAAGATTGAAAAACTGCGTGTAGTTGTGATTTTCGTCATTTTTCGTTGCCTATTGTTTTGAGAACAGTGTAGAAAATGCAAGTTATTGCAGCATTTTTCGTTATTCCTCGCAATTTTTATATTTCGTTGGTTTTTAAAATGAAAACTTTATCGACTGCTTTTTTTCTTTTCCGAAAGCGTAAGATTGATAAATATTGTACGGTTTGATTTTTATGAATTTTGGTTTGTAAACTTAGTTTTTCATGAATCTTATATAGAAAAACCTCGCGTGAAGCTATTGTATGAGGTGACGAGCTTATGTCCTTTACATTTTATCATATCTTTGTTTTTTTCAAATGCAAAATGTATGTCTGAGCTAAGTTATTAGAGTTATTGAAATGGAAACGGATTAAAATAATATCGGATGATATTTAAAAAAGGATCGATCGATGGACAAAGTTTTTCCGTCCAAGAACCAAAGTGTGCAAAATTGTGAAACGCTAAATATTTGTGAATAACATTTTTGTAGCGTTATTTTTTTCTGCCAGGGAAGGCTCGAACGGGGATTGGAGCTCTTGCTCGTTTTCCGATGTTTTACGACTTTGAAATCTAAGATCATCAGCGCAATCTTTCGCAAAATCGCAACAACAACGATGGCAAGAAGACAAAGTCTCGGCAGTATAGAGTAGCAACATAGTAGGAAGAAGAAGACTTAATCCGGGCAGCAACAGAAACCCGACACCCGCGTTCTCTTGGAAGGTAGGTTGGCATGGCATGCTTTATGCGGTGACACTCGGACACACGACTCTCTCTGGACCCCTGCTGGCGTTGTGTATACCCCGAATCCGCTTTTATCCCAACCACCACCACCACCACCACCACCACCGTCCGCGTATATACCCTCGTATTTTCTCACTTTCTTTTCTCGACTACTTTTTTTTTTTTTTCTCGAGAATATTTTTTGATTTTATACATGACGAAATCTGGAAACATCTCTGAACATTCCGAGCTCTGCAATTTTTGTTCTCAGCGGGCGTCAATCACGCCTTCTTTTTTTTTTTTTTTTCTAGAGCGATTTGCGACGTCGTATAAGAAGCCGGGCGCGCAGCTCGCCTGCCGAGAGAAAATGGGGTGTATGTCATGCGTTTAATGAAAATCGTAAGCCCGCCGGACGTTTACGAGTTTTTGGCCGGACTCCTTGCGCGCGCAGTAAAAATTCTTTCTGTCGTTTTCGATTAATTTTTTCCCTTTGCAGGAGCGTTTTCATTTTACAAAATCGTAGCTCTCCTTTTAATCCAGCGCCCTTATCAGCCGACATAACGATCTCGGGGCAATAAATTTTTCTCTCGCGCGCGCGCGCACGAGAGAGAGAGAGAGAGAGAACAAAAAATTCACTTCGCATGTGTACACTGCACTAACTCTCTTTCGCGAATATTATCTGCCAGGCCAATCTCGACGGCCTTGAAATTATACGCACACGCGCGCGAGATTCTTCTCTTGTCGGGCTGCATACGCCACGAGAGAAAAAGTTATCCAGTAGCAGCGACACAGTTTGATTTACGAAAATCTCGAAGCCTTGGCGTGTCTGCTTGATAAGCGGCTCGCGGGAGTGAATCGACGCGCGCGTTGATCGACTTGGCTCGAAAAAGAGAGGAGCAAAAAAAAAAAAAATATGCACAATTCCTTCCCTCGGCTCGCTTGCTTTCCTCCATCGTCGTCTCTTATCTCGAGGCTTTCTTTGTGCGCGAAGGCGTGTACGCGTAATGATATATAAAGTATCGCGTGCAGGTGTCACGCGCTACAAATGCTCTCGTTCGTCTTATCGTTGTCCCAGGATCTCCGCAAGGCTAATCCCCTCTCGAGCGTTCATCACTTTTGCAGCACTTTTGGAAATAATGCCCTGAGATTCGCTGTTCAACAATGAATTGTTACTTTTCATAACATTCCAAGATTTAAAACTTTACCGTGGCGAAGCAATTAAAGTCAGTTTCACTCGACAAAGCCTCTTGCTCTCGCTCTCTCTCTCTCTCTCTCTCGCCGCGGCGCGTGCGATAAAAAGAAGAAAACACGACTTCGTCGGCGTCAAACGAAGGATGACTACTACAGCGCGTCAGCGCCTCTCCTTCTCTCTCGCAAAGCTGGTAATTGAGCCATAAGCATCTCCGTGGTGGTGCACAGGCAAAATATTTCAACGGGCGCTTGCTTTTAGTATATCGCAGCAGTAGGACCGCGAGACTATAATTTAAACGCTCATAATTAAGATGCGCCTGGCTTGCCTGACAAACGTCCGCGCGTACATCACCAAGTTGCGATATGCGAGAGATGGATCGCGCAGCATCTAGTTTTCACAAAAATGTTTATTGCCTTTTATTCCGAGAATAGCTAAGCGAAATACTATGCGGAATTGTAAGTGAGGTACGAGCGCTATAACTGTTTTGGTCGCACGCGCCGGCGAATTTACGCACTTAATTAAAATAAATTAATTCCCCGCCGCTCTCTCGTAGAATTTTCAGATTGTGTCATAAACTTGTAACGTACAAGCAATCAAGCGTGATTTTATTCAGCACCTCGGCTGGATGTCATCGACACGCGAAAATGACTATCGGCATAAATTCAAACAAATCGCCCTGTAATTATATCAACGCTTTTGCGCAATCTAATTAAGGAACAATTAGCATTGCAGAAATTTACGGCTCGAGCGAGCAGCCTCGTAAATCCATAGGCTGCCGCCGCGCTGTTGCATCAACATTTTCATGGCGATCGACTGCCGATAAATACATACGCGCGATATCTAATCAGAAGCAGCTGTATTCACGTAACTGATATCGATGCCTGCCTGACAATTACTCGCTGACGCTTATTTACGATCTAATTGAGCATGCGCGAAAAAAAACTGTTCGATGAAATGTTCACCTGTAACTTTGTCGCTTACGTGATGCACAATTTGTATGCTATGCGATCGCGATAATGAGGTGAAAAGCTCATTGATTATTCCTCGGCGTGGTATTAGACTCGCGTGCGCGCGCGTCCGCGACAAACAGCTGACAGGTCAATTTTATTGGCGGCCAGCGGCGATCGCCGAGGTTCCAAAGCCGCGCGTGAGAGAAACTTTAATCGCGCGCGGCGGCCGATGAGAAGTCAAGATTTTTCAAAGTATGCAATTACAAAAATGACGTCGACCTCGTTCTTTTTCCGCGCGCAGGTGGGGAACAAGGGGGAAGCTACGGTAACACACATCCCTAATTCAATTTTAAGATACAATTTAACGCGGCGTCGGCGTATCATCGGCGAATCGGACACGCCTCGTAGCCTCTCTCGGCAGTGGCGAAAAGAAAGAGTCCAGGAAGAAGCCTCGCGCGCTCTCTCTCTCTCTCTCTCTCTCTCGCTCTTTGATATCTTCACGCGCAGGCAATTTTTACGAGCCACCTCCTTCTCGGCCCCCGAGGCGTCACGCGAAGGTGACGAGTGCTCTTCTCTCCGCCGCTGATTTTTTCTTTTTTTTTGCGCTACTCGGAAGGTCGTTACTTGCGCTTGGCGACGGTTTGTTTGTATTGCAAAACAAACACTTATGGGCTATCGGCTCTCGTTCGTTTTTTCTTGCTTAGGTGGATGTACCGATGCGGTGAAATTGTGCGATTCTTAGAAGAGTCGGTGAGTTTGATTATCAAAGGTTGTTCAAACTTAAAACGCGTCTTCGGCTACTGCATCAAGAGAAACGATTGAATTATTACAGAAATTGGTAGACAAAAATTGCTCTGGAAACTCTAATTTAACTTGATTTTTGAGCAAGTGCTGTATAGTGCGAATGAAAGATAGCGTTTAAAGTAATTGAAATTCCTTGAACCCTCAATTAACTTTCAGAAGCTACAAACTGCAGCAGCCCAGCCAAATGACCAAGATTTCTAGAATCTTTTACGGTGCACTTTTGCCTTCTGGGTGATATATAAACATCAAAGAAACCTCGCAAGCGCAGAAAATCAAGTGAAATCATGCGGATCGCATTGCGTGCAAAAAAAACAAAACGAAAGAAAAGAAAAAACGCGGCAGGCAAAATTTCAAGGTAGCAAAAAAATAAGAGCAGCTACCGCGCGTATACCTGCGCACAGCCAATTGATCTAACGAGACGCTATCGCCAAGGGCAAGGAAGTTGGTTTGTGTCCGCATGCTCATTAGGTAAGGAAAAAAAAAAGGAGATCCACTCCTGGAAACCGCTAATTCGGCATACAACCTCAAATCGCAATTGTCGGCAATTTTTTTCGTTTTCGATATAATGACGTCCGCGCGGGCGAATCATAGTTACGCATCTGCACGCGATCCTCGCGCAGCGCGGATGTGTCGCCTAAATGACACCTTCACCGCTGCAACTTTATATCTGTGTGTACTTATCTTTCCTTTTCTTTCGCGTCCGGAAAGAATCTTCTTTTGTTTATAAGCGCGCGTCGGAGAAATTTAAAAGTCGCGTGTTGTGCGATAATTTTTTTATGGCTTGCTTTTAAAGCCCATAAGTACGGAAATTATACGCGAGTTCTTTGTTTTATGTGCTAGATCGCATTGTTTGTTTATGGAACCGAGTTCATATTGAATTTAATGGCCTGCGAACTGTATAATTAGTCACTTGAACTTTATCTTGTATCTGTATCTGCATCTAATGAACTTATCACTGGGATTTGAGCTCGCGTTTTTCACTAAATAAGTCATCTTCAACATTCTCATTTGCAAATCGATCGATTCACTAGTCGGCCAATCAAACAACGACTTGTAATCTCACGACCCAGCCGAAGCATCTAAAATCTCCTACTCCAATCGGTAATAGCGAAAGTTTCCTATCCACGAGACAATAGACGAAAAAGCCTCTCTCTCTCTCTCTCTCTCTCTCTCTCTCTCTCTCTCTCTCTCTCTCTCTCTCTCTCTCTCTCTGTCTCGTCGGGTCGAACAAGTGCATTTTAAGTATACGCTGTACTCGTCCGCCCCGTACAGTGTGTCCTTGATCGACGTCGATTCACTCTTTATCGCTGCGCTTCGCCGGAGGTAAATGGCCGAGTCGTGACCATTAGACTCTCTGGGTAAAGTGAGGCAGGAAATAAAGCCGAGCAGTGTATGTACGTGTGTGGGGCCCGGATCACGATTCGACGATTCCCAGGAAAATTAATAAGACCATCACGAGCGGCAATAATAAAACAATCGTGTACGCGCGCTGCCGCCGCTACAGATGTCCCGATGCTGATTACTCGGAATAATGCGAGTCCGAGCGATGTCGTGACGGTTTATTTTGCCTGATTAGCTCAATTTCGCTGACCTTCGGTCGCAGCGATCGCCGCTAATGCAGAGCCCTGGCGACTGTCTTTTCTAGCTGGCGACGAGCCCGCGGTTCATTTGCGACCCGTTTGACGAACCGACGCGGAACTGGTCAAAACGTGAGAGAATCGCGGACGGAGGCGGCGCGCCGGCGCCGATCCGTTATCGGGAGAAGCTCTCGACGGCAAGTAGCTCCGTTCCGCGCGCCAATTGCGCATGCATCTGCTGGAAAAAACACTCGCCTGTAGTAGTCCTTCTTGCAGTAGATATTGCCATCCCGGCTGAAACACGTGACCTCGCCGTCCAAGCCTTGTCTGCAATGGGAGCACTGTAGGCAAGAAGCATGCCACCGCCTATCGACGGCCTGAAGATAAAACCTATCCGATATTTTGAGTCCGCAGCCGGCACATACGACGATCGGGCCTGATGTGTGCTGCTCGTGTTCTTGATGCGACGACGGTGGCGTCGACGGCGGCTCCAGCTTCGGTATTGTTGGCATCGACTCTTGCTGCTGCTGCTGCTGCTGCTGCTGCTGCTGCTGCTGCTGCGATACTGAACCATCCGTCGCATGATGCAAGATCGTTTGCTGATGGTGGTGGTGGTGGTGGTGGTGATGGTGATGATGGTGGTGTGCTGGCATGCTCAAGTCGTTCGGATGCTCGTAGTTGTTGTTGCGGTATTCGGATGCATCTGCGGATCACAATGAAGCGGACCAACGATTTATTCAATTGATTCTAGTTTACGCAACGTTCCTGCCTATTAGTCACCCTCGAAAGTGGAAGTCATTGAAAGTGCAAAAGCACCCTTCCCTCCAGCCTTAACCACTTAATGAGCTCGAGAGTTCTCAAGCATTGCCACCGCCAAAACTCATACTCCGAAAGTCAGTGAATGCTGCGTGCCGCGAGAGAAACTCATCATAATCCTACTGTGCTTGAAAACCAATTCCTTCGGAACCACCCATCGCACATTCAAGAAAAACTCTCTCATGAGAACCGATGAGAGAGAAAAAAATCGGAATACCCATGGGGTGTGCTGAGAGGTGCCGGCACACGCGTGAAATCTCGACCTCCCGTGGTGGAGTCCCTTGCCCATCGTCGTCCTCGTCGTCGTCGCGGGGGGTAGCACTGCCGCCGCGACCAATTATCACTCCCGGGCTTCGTATGCTATGCGCCTCGTTACATGCATTGCTTTCGTCGATTTTGGTGGTCCAACATTCTCGATATGATTCCCGACGAAATCTTTGTTTTATTTTTCTTTATTTTTGCCAACATTTTTTTCCTTCTTCGTTTTTCGGGCGCAACCAAAATTACGGGAATCAATCGGAAACGAACGATTCGAGTATTTCTTTGTCGTAAGTACGAGATAAGTTGCAGATGATACGCGGTTTGTCGTAACTACGACTTCCCCATTTCAATCAAAGCACGCGCCGTCGCGAAAATCATTGTTATTTCACACAGGCGTGCTCGCATCTTCGTCAAAATGAAAGGGAAGAAGCCGATTGGCGCTGAGACGTGCAACGGCACACGCACAGGCACTGCGCGAATGAACCAGCGCGCGCGAAATCCCCAAGAGCCTATAATAGCATATCAAGAGCAAACATTCACAGGAGCGTTGTGCTTAAGCTACGATCGAAAAAACCAACTGACCTCCTGGCGAGCCAAAGTCCCTGGAGTCATACGGGGTTGGAGCGTCGTAACAATTGTTATTAGCACAATGCGTGTGTTCGTGATGATGTATGACATTGGTAGGTTGTTGCTGCTGTTGTTGCTGGTTGGTTGGCGTTGGACTGGACGACGAGGACGTGAGAGTTGTTGGCCTGGCCGCATCACCCATCGCGGCTGGTAGGCATGGGCTTAGGTCGCGGGCTGCGACTTCCGGACCACCAACTACTCCCGCGGTGCCGCCGCCATTGCCTCCAGCACCACCGCCACCTCCTTGGCAGCTCAGAGATAATCCACTGCCGCGCTCCTGCGTGCTCGCCGGCTGCTGGAACAAACGTCATTTCTTTTATTCGTCCCTTTGCATTGTTCTCTCGACGATTCCTCGAGTCAATCTGGCAGACTGTCGTTCGACCGAAAATCCAAGATAACATCGCATTTTCAGCATTATCAAGTATCCCGTTGTCGTCTTCAGTCGCGCTACGTCAAACTCGTATTTGTTGGTAATCGTGTACTAGGCACGTATCGAATAGCGTAGTTAACAAATTCGCAAAAGATCGCAGGCCGATAAGAGCACAGCTTATTGCCAGTTCGTAAGACCAAAACTACCAGATTGTATAAGTTGTCGTCGTTGCTAGTATATCAAAGCCACGAATCCTTTAATTGCAGCAGCAGCAGCAAGCAGCAGATAAACACGTACTTCTAGTAACACACGTAATCGCGATAGATAAGCACCCGATAACCGTCTCCATTACACTCCCGATAACCGATCTCTCTTTTGACTCTGCTCAGTCGTGGCAAAGAAAGAAAACGACCAAGTCTCTTGACGCTGAAAATTAACCGGTCAAACGACACCCGATTAACAAATATTCTACGCCAAAGATTTTTCGAGCGAGACAGACTATGATCGTGGTTGGTTGGTTGGTTGGTTGGTTGGTTGGTTGGTTGGTTGGTTGGTTGGTTGGTTGGTTGGTTGGTTGGTTGGTTGGTTGGTTGGTTGGCTGGCTGGCATGCAAAAAAGACAGGAAGGAAAGAGCGAGAAAGACGACGATGCCGCTGTGGTTTTTACTTATGTTGTAGCACTTTTTCGTCGCGCGGCAGATCGATGATGATGTTGGTTTTATTGATGGGTTATTGGCTCAGGAAGTCATATCACAAAAGCAATATCGATTTACTTTGTCATTTCATTTTTTTAATCGTCGAAGTATAACGTTTTTGATTTGAAAAGAATAATGCGGAAGTCACTTTTTACGACCTACTCTTTGTAATTTCCTTTGCTTTGATCACTGCCGAACGATCGATTATACAGATGACTATCTGTAGGATCTTCGATGAAAACACACCAACCGACGAAAAAAAAATCCTCCTAATAAATGACGGTCATTTCAGTCAAATCGTATTAATGATTATAAATCTTAACCTATCATTAACGCACCGAAAAAAAGAAACATTCATATTTATGAATGAAATATGCCGCAGCATCTCCAAAAAATTCTCACACGACTCAGCCTTGCCGATGACACACACACACACACACACACTCACGACTACCTGTGCGTCCTAAGCTTCACGCGAAGGGGGAAAAAGTGTCGCGCATGCGCCCTATAAGGTTAAACCCACTCTACACGCGCGCTCGCACAAAAATGTATAGTATAGCCAATGGTGGAACAGAAGCAAAGACGTCGGGGTTCACATCAATCACTATCATAAGAAGAAGAAAAATTTTTTTTACTAAATGTTAGAACGAAAAAAAGAAAAAAAAAACGGATTTCTCAGTTTGGTCTTCGTTCGTGTTGCACCAATGCATCGTGAAATCTGTTCAAGTTTCTATATCGTTCGCCGGAAACTTGCACAAGAAAGTGTCGTGCGGCGCCTTGCGACAGGAGGTCAAGCCGAGAAAGAAAAAGAACGAGAACCATTTCAGGATATCGCTTGCGCAAAACGATAACGTGCATCAAGTTAAAAAAAAGCAAAATTGTTATAAAACGTTCTAACTCTTCCGGATGTTGCAGCAGTCTTATCGAAGTATAGGTCCAGAACAATTTTCGTTTTATAGGCGGAAAAGTCATTCGGCTTATCGTCCCGCTATACAACTACATATTCACGTCCGATAATGATAACGGGCAACACAGCGACACGTATAGAGCTTGGTTAAGTTGATCTGTAACGAATAATACTGTCGCGCAAGTAGTCAAATTGTGACCGAAAATTCACATTCCCACACTGCGCGGAACATAACGAAATTTATCACTCTCGTAGTTTCGAGCAGAAAAGAAAGAAAGAAAGAAAGAAAGAAAGAAAGAAAGAAAGAAAGAAAGAGAGAAAGAAATAAATAAACGAGAGAAGAAGCTGAGTGTCGCGTAGGCGTTTTATCGCACAACGTCGTCGCATAATAAAACGAAGGCGTTTTTAGGGAAAGGTGGTATATACGTGGATGTGTTACGGCTTCCGAAGAGCGACACGATGTTGCTACCGGCCGCCTCGTAAATTTCTCTCCCTCCTTTCCCTAAAGGAAATGAATTACGCTTTCGACATGCGCGACCGAAAGCGCCGATTTTGTACTTGTCCATTTTATTCGATTTTTTTCTCTTCCTTAAAGGCAATTGAATTAAGGTGCTGCTGCCGGAGAGCGTTCGCGTGTCGCCTTGTCGCCCCGAAAGAGAATCATGCACTAGCTTTTGGAATTTATCGCGAGTACACTTTTGTTATGTACACAGGGAGTTGAGGATAGTTTTATACTCGAGGCTTAGCGATGTCCATTTTTTCTCTTCACGGAGGCTAAATTAAAATGTAATGTTTGACAAACATGCTTACAATATATACGCCGTTTTATCGAACGATATATATATATATATATATATAGAGAGAGAGAGAGAGAGAGAGAGAGAGAGAGAGAGAGAGAGAGAAACGTGGCGTTTTAGAGATAAGAGATGTAAGTCGCGTATATATAGTGCGTGTGAACTGATATTCAACTGACATAATATTACTAAAATAGTTTTTACTTTCTGTAACAAATTCAAATTTAGTCTTTTGCAAATACTTTCAGCTACATGCACGATTCGTCATCTGCATTTTCGACGAACTGCCAGGTGTTAAAAGCTCAAACTTTTGCAACACATTCAAAAGGATCACGTCCTACACAAACTTCGATAAGACAATCCAATTCTTTGTTTTCTTCATGCACGCACTTCTCGAAGCGTCTCTTTAGTCGCTCGTATTTTAAAGTCGACTAGTAGTACAACTCCAGGCTGCTTCTCTCTTGTCGCGTATATGGGTCCAATTAAAGGGCGCGCGCACTTACGCAATTTACTCATCCCGCGCGCGCACGTACGCGATGTTTAATTGCAATTCGCACGAGCTTCGATCCTTGAAGGTTTTATTTCGTGTAAAATTTACAGCTTGCAAAACACGATAAATTCATTAAATAATTATTCAAAGAAAAACACTGCAATTACATGCGATATTCGCAAGTTGCACATATACATATATATATTTGTGTCGATTTTTTTTCATGGCGTATATAAGCTTGTTGACGTTGTTTTTAATCGCATGTATGTTTGTTTAATTAATTCGACGTATGTCGTCAATATTAGCCACCAGAGCAAGATGAAAAAAAATCATACGAATTTATGAACCGCTGTAGAAGATAAAATAATAGAAGTCATATACATTCATATCTTTTTATTCGCGGTTCGGGTGCCGCGAAGGGCGAGCGGGGGGGGGGGGGGCATTAAAGATGTGTAAATTTTGAGAATCATCGCTGCTGTGTGTGTACGTGTGTGCAACCTACTCGAAGGCCGCCGGACGACGACGACGCGCTTCTCTTCTTCTTGTTCTTATTCTTAAGGTCGCTTCAGAATTTTTCATATGTAGTGATTAATGATTCATGTGTTTCTGCACGCGGTCAGTGTAAGTTGTTTTAAAGCGCTTTCGAATTTATTGTTCTTTGTGGATACGGGAATGACGAAAAATGAGGAAGATATCTCGAAGCATATTTTGAAGGCATCTGAACAATTGTCAGCTATAAAATTTGTATTCGATAGTTACTGCTTCAATTGATCACTTAAAATATGTGATATTATACACTTCTGAACAAAGGAAAAATAGGGAATGCTCACTCTCGATAACGAACAGTAAAAGAACTTCTCAGATGCATATAAATATTTATTTTTCTCAATAAAAAACCAATTCTTGATTCATCGAGTATCTTCGTTGAAGTTTCCATTGGAAAAATTGCTAAGAAATGTAATAAAATGCAAATTTTTTTCGTAATAAATTATAACGATCCATGCAGCTAAAAGAAAGTCTGCAAAATGAAGAAGAAAAAATTGAATCTCAAAGCTAGCACCACACGCGCGCACACCGTCCGCTCGTACGCGCTTTGAATGCGTTATCAATTGCTCGTCTCTCTCTCGCACTTGAAAATTGCAACATGGAAATCTGACATAGTTTAACCTTGAGTATGCGCGCGTATACACTCGAGAATGATTATCAAAGGAGAGATGGGCTTGTGCAGACACCTTTACGAGCGCGAGAAGAGCGGCGCCAGTCGCCGGCATCCTCTTTTACTTCGGCGGCGGCGGCAGGCGGCCAGCGCTCGTAATAATCGCTATATGCATTTCGATTCTTATTCCTGACTTTTAATATAGTCTTCCGTTCCTATATTTATTTGTATATGAATTATTCATAAACGAGAGTCGTAAATTATATCAAACTTGGTTCTTTTTCTCTGCTTTTCACCGCCGGCAAGATCAAAATTGAAAATTTTACTGCGGATAAGGATGAAAGTGAATATCACTGCCATTCCATGGTTTTCAACGCGTTATTTATGATAGCTGTTGGTTCTGGAATGTGTTGCAGTCGTAACATTCCCTCTGAAAATTTTTATAGTACTCGTATAGAATTTCGACTATTCGGAATACGAATTTGGTAACGAACAGAAGCTTTTCTACAAGCGCAACCTACTTCCCAGTCGAAACACACGTATGCACAGCGTGCGAGCCGCAATCCACACAACACGCGACTTTTCTTAAGGACAGCCAGAGAGGCGTTTTCCCGTCGCGCGAGAACTCGAGCGAATTTCCAACAACTCTAATTGCATTACCGGCTTCGTTGGATCGCGCCAGATCGGTTCTCTCTTTCTCTCTTTCTCTCTTTTTTTTCATCCCGACGAGAAGACGGCCAGATCCATTTCGCGGTGACATTCCTCATTTGCGAGAAACGTAGTCTGCGCCTTTTTCTTCTATCCGCAATTTTTCGTCGTCTGCGCAAGAAAGTCGATTTTTACCTTCGCCGCGCCAACGAACTTTTCAGCGACGACGGAAGTGGCATTGACATTGCCACGTTGCTCGTTCGGTATAGTCACTAAATCCACCATCTCGCGCGTATCTCAACGAGCGAACAAAAACACTATCAGTCCACGGAGCACCTCGCTCGTGCATATCTTCAATTGTGCCGTAGTCGCAAGTGAAAAATGGAGTGACAGCATATAATAGAGTCGTAACTCATAAAATCTTGATTCGTATAATAGTCATTGTGCGGCCAGGGGGATATTCGCACGGTGATAAATAATGTGAAAGAATAAAAAGGCGAATAGAGAAACAGTCACGCGAGAAATTTTCGCGTGTCAACTTTCGTGCCGGCGGCGGATACGCCGAGCATGTTAGTGTACATGTACGCGCGCGCGCAGCACGTACATTGTTTGACGTTTTAGCGACGCTTATCAAAACGCCGGCAGGTGCTATTAGTCAATTAAGCTTTTGCGTAAGTGTGTTCTATTAACGTGGCAGCCCTCGATTTCAAACTAGGCGCTTAGATGTGAATGTCGAATTCGTATAAAACACCTCGATATATTCATCGTATGGCTTCAACCAGAGCATCATTATCTACGATCAAGCTCGCATACACAGTATAGATAGAAGCGTATCGTTTGGTGCTTGACTGCCTAACCGCGATCTTTACTTACTTGCTTGCGGTTTTCTGGATTTCAACTTTAACACACAGGCATCTAGCAGTTTTTTCGATCCTCATCTTTCCGAATATCTTCAGCGAATCGTCGTCGCTCGCTAGTCTCTCTTTCACGATGACTCGGAAGCAATAAATTAATTTTAAGCGATCAATTTCTGAAGTATCGCATCGTACAAAGAGAATTTTGCAGCATTTTAATTGGAAAAGCTTTCGATTAATTGATGAAGCAGCATGTGAGTAGAGATGGAAAGAATCTCGTGTCGCGAGACTTTCGCGATTATACGCATTTTGTTTTGACTTTTGAGTGTTGCGCTGTGCTTTTTACTTTCGCGCAACAAAATTTTATTTATAGCAGCAAACAAAAATGTAAATAAAGGAAAACATGGCTCTCCGATAAGACTTGAATGTTTTCGCCAAAGGTTTATCGGGGCCTATTCTCAATTTCGAAATGTTTTCCAAAAAAAACCTCGTAGTAATAATGCACACAATTCGATGACCCTTTTGCAAAAAGGAAAAAAGAAACTCATAATTCTCAGCCGCGGTCTTTTCTCGCGGGACGACGGATATCTCGGTCGGACCAATAAATCAAGCAGGCCGCGCAGCTATCGCCGGCAGACTCTCCGCTCTCTATCGCGCTGCTTCTTCTCTTCTTCTGCTTCTTTTTTTTCTCGCTCCGGTTGAACGAGAGAGTGGCTCGCTTTATACTTGCCAGAGCGACAATTTTGCGGTAATCGTTTTTAAAGTATCGCCGCTAATACGAGAATAGAAAAGAGATTTATCGGGGCTATCTTCGAAATAGCTTGGCCACATGCCCATCGCGAAAACGCGCGAGTGTATATAAGCCTCGTCCATTGACAAGTATTTTGTCACACGCGGATTTCTAGACGCTTTCGTCGAGTCTGTGCACACACACACTCATATATATGCATCCAAGATTTTTTTTTGATCGCCGGGAGTTCAAGGAGGGCACGCGCCGCGCCGTCGTCTTATCAGCTGGAGAGAGACTAATCGACTTCAAATTGACCGAAGAGAGAGAGAGAGAGAGAGAGAGACAGCGCGATTATACGAAACACTACGGGAGATTGTTGTTTATTCGTGTACATAAAGGGGACTAAGTCCACGGTTTTTTCGTTGATCCGTGTCACATTTGTTGCCGATTATTCGTGAATCTTGTTTTTCCTCGCTTGAGATTGCGCGCGAGCTTTTTCGCACGTACGCAAACTCGAAAAAAAAAAAAATAAATAAAGGGACGATCATTTTTCTCGCAACACGCAAGGAGAGAAAGAAGTAGAGCACAGCATTTTCGAATTAAGCACGTACACACATGCACTCGTGGTCGTCGCCGTCGTCAGCTGCTGCACCTGCGCGATTCTATCACGATGACCGTGCCACGCGGACACACACTTGCACTAACCGTGCAATATAAATTGAACGGCATTAATATACATCGAATGCAAGTCTAACGTTTACGGGCTTCTCTTTTTTCTCGTCCACTCGTGTAACGATTCAATCTTCGTTTTTACTACCAAATGTATAATATTGATTTGTAATTGAAGATCACGACGGAGTGAGTCAACCGACTCGACAACGAAGTGGGAAGAGAAATAAAAATGCATCTGTACGATCGAAGGATTGCCGCGTGGGAACGGTCAACGCTGCATTCGGCGAGAGGAAATTGGCGCTGGTCGCGCGCGCGCAAACGTGCAACGCGACAAATGGACGAGGTAAGAAACTCACCCAGTGCATGCCGGTGTTAGGAGGGGCGCGCTCCTCATAAACTCCCATCAGGTTGGCTGCTCGGACGCTTGGGCCAGCAGTCGCGGCCACTGACGACGACGACGACGACGACGACGACGACGAGGATGTTGTTGCGCCGGCGAGGCTGGCAACGACGCTCCAACTTCGAACCGACGCCAGGTATGACTGGCTCTTATTGCTCCGCGACTATGTAAAGCACAATCTCATGTCTCTCGGCACGACACAACTCACTGCATTTCGATGGTTACTACACACCGCGGAACGTCATCACTGAATCGCTATAGTGTGCGTGTGCCTGTGCGTACGTACACAAACAGCAGCAGAACTCTCGGATACGCACTGGTCGTCGTCGGCTCTCTCTCTCTCTCTCTCTCTCTCTCTTCAAGCCCCGCGCGCTGCGAAACCGCGAGGCTGAGTGAGAGCTAACACTGCCCGGACGCCCGGGCGAAGCCTCGGAAGAAACTCCTTCGACGCGACGCTAACGACACCTCGTGGACGTCAGCTTTCACGGACTGCGCCAGGTGGGTGGAGCGTCGATCTCGCATCCCCACTATGACGCCCGGGGTCCCGCCCACTTGGCCTTTGCCAGACGGTAAGGGGATACCGATATCGGGACGCGCGCGCGCGCCAGCGTGTGTGTGGATGTCCGCCGAGCGCGGGGGAAATAAGACAACTAGATATTATAAGTGACGAGGTGAAAGCGCCTCGGATAGAGGGAGAGTCGAGGGATGATGTTGCGCGCGGAGGAATTGCCGACAGCTGGAGATTGACTTTTCCCCGGCATTTTCGTTTTCTTTTTGAGAGCGCGACCGAATTGTTTTCAGTTTCGCGCCGCCTGATCAGTGGCTGGCCGATGGGGTTGCACTGCGATCGTTGGGAGCATTCGTCATGCCTCGCCCGCGTCAGCACCAAGCGACCGTCTCGCGCGCGTCGGCTCAGTCGAAACAACAAGAAAAACAACGACCGCGCCTATACAGTCCAGAGTCTATCCTCGTTTGTAAGCTTCATCAGTTGTATTGGCGGATGCTCACGCGCGCCTGCAATTCGTCCGAATGCTCGCCCGCACTGCTCCGTGTGTTGTTACTGCATTGATATTTTGGATCCGTGAGTTAATCCACTAATCAAGCAGCCAAAGTTGTAAGCTATCATAGGCATGTTTCGCGCTCCTGTCGATCTTCGAGTTTTTTTGGTTCTATTCAAGACGAAAATCCAAATTTCATGTTATACGATATATCGAATTCAGACATTCGAATTTCCATAAGAATATTTGTATGGAATCCTTTAATAGTATAAATACATCGAATACTGTGAGCATTAAGGGTGAGGTGTAGTGAATGTATTTGTGTATCGAGGCTACTGGATTAATGTGAGCATTGTTTAACGCGTGGGTTAATTTCTACATGTTCTTCTTTTTCATCATAGATGTATGGTTTTTGAAATGTGTGCCTGCATTCTACATAAAGACACAAGTTGTTAGCTGTTTCATATTGTTAGCCCATTTCTAATTTGAGACACGGACAAATTTCTAAGTATATCGTGTCTCTTTGGAAGATGTTCCATCTTATTCCTAATGTTTCTTCGACAAAAGGAGCCCTACAAAATCCACCGTTGCAAACAACGTCGGAGTAGAAAGTCAGCTCCAAGAATGGCCGATCAACAGAAATAACACGAGAGCCCCGATATAATTGAACCAACAAATAGATGCCCGCGAAGAACAAACAAATCGACGATCCCTCGGTGCGCAATATCGACTTTGGTGTCGTTCGAAAAAGCAAAAACCGCTCTGGCGCGAGCTCCGGCTTGGAAAAAAAAGGCTTGAAACCCATGGCCGGATGTCGGCGGTCCGCATGAGCGCTCTCCGCCGATACTCGTTTGCGGGACACCGCGCCGCTGTAATACCGCAATTCATCTCTCTCTTTCAAGAGGGAGAAAGCCGCGCGCGCGCGCGCGCGGCGCTCGTCGGTCGTTGAATAATGTCTCTCGCGCAAGCCAACCAACGTGACAGCCGCCGAGCAGCGCGAGAAAAACTTGGAGAGGAGATGGTTTTTTCTTGCCCGAGCGTGACGCGAGTGTAATAGTAGGTTTTTCTCTCTCCTCGATGGGGTTGATTGAATAATTCAAATACTGATGGTTTTCTGGTGGTGTGCTCCGTGTTGAAATTTCGGGACGATTGCTTGTAATATCCATCTTAACGGAAATTCATGTTCTTTAAACATTCTTTTTATCCTAACGTAAAGTTTTTGCCGTAGCTTATGCGGATAATACGCATCGCATCGTCAATTATCAAATTATTGATGATTTTGGTCTTGTAGATTATCTAATTATTTATAAACAACCCAGTGATGTACGAATTGAAAACTATTTCCATGCATTTACATAATAGACAAGCGCCGTGAAATAAGGTCCCTGAAAACGTTCGACTCTTAACTAGAGCGAGAACAGCGCCCTAAACACACAAAAACCACCCCTAAATATCATCCTTTCCACGGTAAAAACAGGAAAAATTTGGGTGCCACAGCAGACATCGGCAAGGCTCCCCACAGGCACTATTACGAGTCGTTTAGCATTGTCCGGCTTTGCAGCTGAGAAGTGGCTCGTGCGGGCGGAAGAAAAGCCAAAAAAAGAGGGGCGCGCGCACGTTCCACAGCGCAGCCTGCGCGCGTTGTGAAGCCGTAGCCGACAATAAGTGCCAAACGGCTGCGGCTACGCGGGACCTAAGACCCACTGACCGGCTTTTCAAGAATCTATTATATATTTTGAGGGACCAACGCTCTTCTTCGTCCGGGGCTTTTGTTCTCTTCCCAACCACATGCTGTAGCGGAGAAAATCGATGGATCTATGATCAGCGAAGGTAAATTTATGTTTCTCCAGATATTCGGATTGCAAGGGCATAAATGATTGCTCATGATCTTGTATATTGGGTCGAAGAGAGGAATGGAATTTTATAAATTAATGTGGCCTGTAGGCTTTAGGACTAACGCCTTTTGTAAAAGGTTTTTCTCGATTTACTAATGCATTTTACGCTTAAAAAATGAGCTTCTCGAGGATTTGGCTTCGCATAAAAATTTGTATTTCTTGTCACTTATAAATTGCCAATCCGTAAAGAGCTTTACGATTACATTCGTTTGTTATTTCCATCTGAAAATTTCATTGAAACAAACTGCTCTTAAGCGTGATTCCTGCGAGCAAAACAATTCTGTAATCTTGAATACGACTAAATACAACTGCAGTTAGCGCCATCAGATAGAAATCTAAACAGATCTTTGGCGGTGAAGAAAAAGAAGAAATCTGAAAAAGCAATCGTTAGCATCCTGAAGATTAAGAAATCAAAAAACTGCTGGCTCCTGCATGGGATTACGTTAAACGAGGTCAGGCCGGTACAAAAGACCGACTAATCGAATCTGTCCCGCCTCAATCCTACGCTTATCTCAAGGAGAAAATCGATCGATCGTTCTGACCACCAGGTAGCATAATTTTTATCTTTACCGAGAGCCTATTCCCACTTCCGCGGAAGGTCCGAGTATTGTAAGAGAAGTGTTGGCAGTTGTGGTCAGTTTGTATGCCGAACGGAAGGAGCCGACTGTTTGGCTGGATTATGAATTTCCTCTCAGCGTGGACGAGATAATGCTTTCGGTAAGCTGCGCTCACTGCTAATCCAGTTTCATGTTTTTCGACCACTCGATGCCCCGCGAGGCGACGATGAATGAAACGAGTACTCAATGGAGCACGTTTCGGCGTGAACGGTCAATTGTCGTCGACCATGTCTTGCGATCAGCCAGCGAACAGCATGAGGTGAGGTGTCGTATCTCTCTCTTCTTCAAAAATTCTCTTCGAGGGATTTTACTGTCGGCTTGTAAGGAAACAACAGTTTTTCTCTTGAGCCTTTCAATACGAACTGCCCTTCAATGGACTTGCGAAATGCAAAACTCGCTTCAAACAGACGATGTTTGTAGTGAAATTTACGGCATAATTGACAATATTTACTGTGTTATTTTCTTGGCTAATGCAAGCTCTGATTTTATTTATATGCTATTTATGACGAAAATTCAATATTTAAAAATGTCTATATTATATCTTTTTAGAGTAAAACACATCCTTTTCTTAAATTTTTTGAGGATTATAATCTACACATATGATTTTGAAATCGAAATTGTGCTTTATCATTTCGTTGTTATTTTAATTTTTTACATTTCCGTTTATTGTAATTTTTCTAAATGAAAACAACCTATCGAAATAAATAATATTGAAGAGTTCAAAGGAATAGGCGTTAATATTTTAAAAATTTCTTCATTGGTTATAGTATGTAATGATTTTGAATGTATTTGTACACAATCTTATACGAAGGACTTTGCATATGAACAATTCGATGATCTAAAAACTTGTAACAAACATAATGTCGTATGTATACTTCGATTGAAAAAGTAGCATTTGACAAAAGACAGCGAAAATTTATGAATTCAACTGAATATCATCATCGACCAAATGCATATTATCTCCATAAACTTATACAATATCAAGTTTGAAAATAGCGCATGAATACCGTCGGCGGCGGTTTACATAGGCAAAAACTCGTTTTCGCTGCTGCAGAGAGTGCAAAATCGCTGGTGGATCAGGCAAATCGGAATGGAAAGAGAGAGAGAGAGAGAGAGAGAGAGAGAGAGAGAGAGCTGACTCCGTTATGAAGACGCACACCGGCAAAACTAAAAGGGCCGCCGCCGTCGAATAAGAATCGCTGTTTACTCTGCAGAGCTCGATAAACCCTTTTTCCCTCGATGAGAGCATCTCTCACGATTGTATGTATACCTTCATGAGTATTTCCTTTTATCATTCGAAGCTCATGCGCGGAGAGAAGCTATTATCGCGTCGCTTTATACGCGGCTGTGCATATGCCGCGAGCTTGCTAGAGGTATGTCGTTCAGATGCACTTCACTGCTATCCTCGCTGTTCGTGCCTTTTTTTCTTTTTTTCAACTTGGCCGGTGAACAAGACACGTCAACATTTGCTTTTTTCTCGAGCAAGCTCGATTTCTTTTGTCTTTTTTATTGCGACAAATAGTCGTCACTCTTATTTACCACTTATTTGCAGGTTTGACCAATTTTCATATGGAACTTTCAGATTGAGAGCAGATATAATTTACTCAAGACCAAACGAAAAATTACATTACACATCCTTCCCGTCTTTGCAACAACAATTTTCCAAGTTTGCATTAACGTGGAATAGAGAGGGGGAGGGGGGTTATGCATATATAAAGCAGCTAATGCACGTGCACCGAGAGGATATTATCTCCCTCAGAAGAGCCATAAGATGATCTGCATGCATGCGCCGCGACTGCCGGCTTTGGCCTCACAGAGAACGTGCCGCTTCTTCGTCGATTGAGAGAAAACGTCAGGAATTCCAAACTCGATAT